ATAATATACGTTGTTTAATGTTCATTTGTTTAAATTATTATGCATTTTCATGAAATTTTTACCCATGTTTTTTTTTTCTTTGCCCTCGGTAAATTCAATAAAGTTCTTTATGAATGCACATGAAAAATAATAATTGATTCTTTATAATCTTTATAATAGATTTTTTTTTTTATATATTTCTTTCTTTTCTTTTTTAACAGTATCTTTTCTTTCAATTTTTTTACGTGTGACGACGGGTTATGAAGTTTTAGGATGTGATAATAATAATTAATATAATGATATTATCGTTATTATAATACTAACAACAATAAAAATGATTCTCAAATGAGGATCAACAATGCACATTAAGAAAAAATTATCATCAAAAGGAAATTAAAGGAAATTAGGCGTCCTTAATAATTTATGGGGAAACTTTTTTTATTTAGTCTTTTTACAGTTCATTAATTTATAAAAAAAAAAATCTTAAAAACAAGAATAAAATCCAGATCTTATGACTCATAATTCCATGTTAGGAATAAACGAAATTTTTAATAGGAAAACTAGAAAACTTTTTTTTTTTTTTTTTAATATGATTTCATTTGAATTAACGAAGGAGGAAAAATACGCCAAGATACAGAAAAAGCCCGTTAAAAAAAAATTTTTTTGGCGTCGTGTAAAGTTGTACAATTAAGCATTTCTATGAAGAATTTTTGAAAAAAAAAAAAAATTAATATATATAATAAATTAAATTTATATTCCATTTTATTATATTGACTTTTTGATTTTATGTTAATTTTTTCATGTCACGTAATTGCAATTAACTTGTCCGTACGGCGCGCAGCAAAAAAAAAAAAAAAAAATTCTCAGAAACAAAAAAAGTTAGTCATGTGATTATGAATCAATGTTTTTTAAAATCAAAAATATCAAAAATGAATCGAATGGTTACCATGGTTACCACGTGTAGAATATTCTGATTTCAAAAAAAAAAAAATAAGGTTATGCATAACAATATAATAAATTTATCATGGTTTTTTTTTTTATGTTCTATTATAATCGGTATAATCGGTTCAAAAAATGAGTGGATCGATCATAAAGTGTAAATTCGGGTAAAAAGATAAGATTTGATTATTTTATTTTTTCGCTTTTATTACAATGATTTTAATTGGCATATTTGTTTGTTATTTTTTTTCACACGCTTTCTTTATTATTATTGAACAATATTACCCATTTTTGAAAATACACATTTTGAAAATCATCAGTCTAAGCCAAAAGAATTATACTGTGTATAAACTGTGTATTAAATTAAAAATTATTATTATCTTACAAATATTCTTCACGTTCTTATGCAATTTAAGATTATCCCATTGTTTCATTGTTTCTCATCATCCACTTTTGAAAATTTTTCTTGTCGATCTTAGGGGGTTATTTACCAATTATAAAATCGCGTGGGATTATATATTGGTTTATTCTCAATAAGTGGTGTCCAAACTTTTTTCTTTTCGTAATTAAATCCTTTTAATTTCCGTTTTTTACCTATACCTTCTACTTCCTCAATAGGTTCCTTCTCTTTAACAATATACTTCATGTGTGCTTTTTTGATCTGTAAAAGACTAAATCTACCTCTCGCTCCAAAATTTGGTTTTTTCCGATATCCTCCTTTACCAACCCATGCTTGTTCTAAAATTTAGAAAAATATATTGATTTCACGTGATACTTCCCAAAGTAATGCGTATTTCAAATAATAATTTTAAAATCGACAATACCAATATAACACTTGTCAGATTCCATAGCTTTATATCTCCAAGCATGATCTCGAGCCGTTATTAAAGAATTCATGATTTTTTTAGATGCTTTCTTTGGAGAAAATTCCATCTGTGTAATAGCCTCATTAATTGGTTTACCAGCAATTTGATTTGCTAAAAATCTAAGTTTACGAGGGGATATACGAAAATTCATTGTAGAATACCGATGCTAAAAAAAGATCAATAAAGGGGGTGTTAAATATCCAGATTGAATTTATATAAAATCTAGAATTAATACCTCGGTATGTTTCTTTTTTGCTTCAGTGTATTTTGGATCTTTTGGATCTTTTGGACCTGTAATTTTTGGAATTTCACCCTTTTTTTTCTTCACATCATCTACATCTTTTTCCAAATCAAAAATCGATGAAACTCCAAGTCCAGGATAAGCTGTTTGAGGTTCAACAGGTTCTTTTTTCTTTTTTTTATTAAAAAAAGGCAACCATTTTACTCTTGAAATAGGTGAATTATGAAGAGATCTAAATATTGAATGATATAAACTTTTGATTAGATAATTGTTTACAGGTTGATGAGAATTAAAGAGTGATTATAAGTGGTTAATGGATGGTTATATTATTAATGGGTGATTATATAATGGGTGTAGTGGTTATATTAATGGGTGGTTATATTTTTGTAGTTATAATTTAATTATTAATGGACTATATTATTAATGGGTGATTATATTAATGGGTTGTAGTGGTTATAATTTAATTAATGAGCTATAATTAATGGGTGGTTATATTAATGGGTGTAGTGGTTATAATTTAATTAATGAGCTATAATTAATGGGTGGTTATATTATTGTAGTTATAATTTAATTATTAATGGGTGGTTATATTAATGGATGTAGTGGTTATAATTTAATTATTAATGGGCGGTTATAATTAATTTATTAATGAATGGTTATAATTAAATTATAAAATGAGTGGTTATAATTAATTTATTAATAGGTGGTTATAATTAATTAATTAATGAGTGTTATAATTAAATGGATGTTTATAATTAATTTATCAATGAGTGATTGATATTTAATTAGTGGGTTGATTGATATTGATCTTGAACGAATTTACTTGATTAGAATTAATTTTTAATTAATTTCTATTTTTTAATGAAAACGCAATAGTAATATTTACCTAACCGAATGTGCCAAAGAAGGTTGACCAAAACTTTCCTTTAACCTGAAAACTGTTCAATAATTTGATCGTACATTGATATTTGAATATTTGATAAAAAAATATTTTTAACCATTATGTTTTTTATCAATATATTTTTCAAATTTACCAAATGATAACAATGTCCTATTTCTTGATATTTCCATATTTTTTTTTTTTTAAAGAAAAAAATTCAAAGAGATATAAAAAGAAAAATTCAAGAGATATAAAAAGAAAACAAAAAAGGCTAAAAAAATTTTATTTTCCTAAAATAATAAATCGAATGATAAATAAGTAATATTTAACAATAATAACCGAAAAAGAAAGACATCTAAATTTTTTTGGTGGCTTATCTTGTAAATAAAATAAATAAAATAAGTCTTGTAATCAATTTTTTATCAGGAAAAAAAAAAATATGTAGATCTTTTTGGATCTACCATTCTCTGATTGGTTGGAACAGGTTGATTACGTAATTAAGAAATTAGAATCCACAGTTCAACGAATTATGGATTCCACTTTAATTCATGCAATGATATGTTAGAAGTTTGGATGATTCCAAAAATCTTAAAAATCTTGAAAGAATTTTGATTCCGATTTTTTTTTTAAAAATAATCTTTTTTCTTCTTTTTTCCTCAAACTTTTTTTATTTTCTTTTTTTCATCAAATCTTTTAATCTATTAAAAAAATGTAAAACGAAACTTATTTTTAAAAATAGACGAAACGAAATGCAAGAAAAAGAAAAAAAAAAAAGGTTAATATGTTACTGCGCTACTATTTTAATAATATTATTATTATCATATACTTGATTAATATATGACTAAAGCTTTTTTTTTAAAAAAAAAAAATCAAAGTTTTTTTTTTTTACCGAAATGTGAATATATTGTATATATGTTTTTAACACACGATCAATTTTAAAAGTTTTATATTTTTGTTGAGAAATAATACTGAAATTCTTTTATTTCACCTTATTTATTATAATAACAAAACATTTTTTTTAATAATAATAATAATAATAAAAACTATGTAATTTTTTTTTATGATCAATATGATCAATAATTCAATAATTCAATATGATCAATATCAGAAGGCAGAATACTTTTCACGTATTATATCATATATTATAAGTGGGGTTTTTTTTCGTTGTATGTTTTCAGAATATGTTTTCAGAATATGTTTTCAGAATAATGTATGTTTTCTGGATAACCGCGTCATCATTTTTCATCAAATTAATAATAGAACGAAAGAGCGCGAGAACACGAGTTATTACAGTATCAATATTGATCATGAGAACCGTGCATAATTCTAGTTGCATGATTCTGGTTGCATGATCCTGGTTGCGTAATTCTGGTATGGTCATTTTTTACCTTGTTTTATCAATCATTTAATTATCATCAATCATATCATCATTAACAACCGAATTCTAGACTTATGTCGTGTACGCACTCAGTACATTACTACTATACTGCATTTGTGAACCCATAGTTCTTATAGGTTGAGAAAATCATCAAAGTGTTTATTCCGGATTTGTAGAAATGTTTATTTTTCACATTATCATCGGAGGAAAATATTTATCATTAAACAAACTTTAATCGAAATCCAACATTCTTTTTTAAACATGTGAATAAGACGACATTAAAACAATTAGAATAATTAGAATAATCAAATTAAGCAGTAAGTTATGCAGGTTGAATGTATCGGCGCACAAGTGAAATCTTAGTGGATCATGAAACAAATTTGGTTAACGGGAGAATCCGGAAAATTTTAATTATCCAGAGTTAGGAATAAGAGCTAAATCAAGAAGATTTTTTTTTTTCCAAGATTACATTCGGAACAGCATCAATTAATGAGAAAACAAAACTGCAAAATGAAATAAAATGAATTAAAGTTGGATACTTGCTAAACAAATCTGTGATTACATTATATAAAAAGAGGTGAGTGGACTGAGTAATGTAATTGAATTTAGTAATATATTATTAAATGCATCGTAATATGCATCGTATTTGTTTTTTATTTATTTATTTAAAAAAATTTTTTTTAATGAATGAGACAGGATTAGGATAGATTATTGTTTGGGTCTATTTGGATATAATCAGAAGAGAAAGGGGGGGAAAGGGAATTCCTTACAAAACTGATTTACTTGGAAATGTCTATGATATTTTTAGCAAGTTTTGAAACTTGAACAAATAAGTTAAATCATTACAATCAAAAAAAAAAAAAAAAAATTTTTAACAAACACATGAAAGTCGCGGATATTTCGCGGTAAAGTGCGTACTGAATGATAGACAAAGAAAATACATACATATATATTTATTTATTATTTATTTATTTATTTATGTATTTATTTATTTAATGAAAGGGGGGGTGTGATAAAAAAAAAAAAGAGATTCAACAGATGATTTAACTAGATTTGACAATATTTTATCCGTAAACAAAGAAAAAAATCTGGGAAAAAAAAAAGTACGCCAATAATCTTGTGAAATATTTAAAAATTTATGCATGGTATTAAGAAAATTCTTTAAAATACCTGTTAGGTGAATTGTAGAACTTTAAAAACTTGAAACAATAACAGGTGAGAATCATTCACATTCATCACATATCACATCTCTTTTGATTTTAAAATAACAAGTTTATTAAGTTCTTATGATCATGTTGCTATATTTAAATGGGAAAGGATTAGAAATTTAAGAAAGTAAAAGATTACGACAAATTATGCAATGTAACAACTTTTTAGGAGTAAATAGTGCAACTTAATCTTTCATATAATCAATTCTTTTTTGAGGATTGATTAAAAGGATGATTTACGTAATGGTTTTAAAAAAAAACTTTAGAATGATTATCTAAAAATAAAGACGGAATTGGAAAACGCGAAATCAATCATTAAAAATAGAATCCTTATTGATGAACATTTTTTTTTAGTATTATTCTTTGAAGAACTCTATTATCATTGATCTTTTTTTGATCCTTGCCATGATTAGTAGAATAATAGTAAAATAGTACTAATAGATTTTAAATAGTATACTCTATTAATGCTTATTATGCTTATTATAAAATACTTTCAATCAAGCTAAATATATTCTCAATTATCAAGAAATTAGTAAAGGCGCGTCTGTAGATCAATATATCACGTGGTTACACGAATTAGTGAATTGGAATTAGCCATATATGGATTTCGTGTAACCCAAAGTGAAAAGTACGGAGAGATTATTAACATTTTGAAACAAAACTATAAAAAAAAGAGTTTCAAAGACCGATAATAATGATAATTAATCTTGAAGATTTTATCTTTATTTGTACTTTTTTTCCGATACTTCGATTAAATTGCTTTACCTTTAATAGTTTTTATTGTTTTTTATAGTTTTTATAAAGCTGACAAACCATACAAATCACATGATTCATGATTATGAAAAAAGTTTAAAATTTTTAAAATAATGGCTAACTTTTTGGATAACTTTTAAATAAATTTCGGACAACTTTTAGTTAACTTTGGATAAATTTTGGATAACTTTTTAAATAACTTTTGGATAAAATTTGGTAAACTTTAGGTTTAATTTGACTTTTTAATTTTTTAAAATTTAATTTTTTTAAAAAATTTTTTAAAGTGACTTTTAATTAAAAGTGACTTTTAATAGTTCTAATAGTGACTTTTAATTTTAAAACTTGTTTAAAATTAAAATTGGTTAAAAATGGTTTCTTGGCAACTTTTTTTTTTAAAAAATTTAATAATCATTTATTACAATAAACCTATATTAAAAGAACAAGAAATATAATTTCCTTTTTTATTTTTCTTGACCGTTTTTAATTCATATTGCTGTATTAAGAATTGATTTACTTAAACCGGCTTTTTAACCGGTTTAAAATCGGTTAAATTATTTTTTTTTTTAAGCTAAACCATTTATAATACTCGTAGTTTTTCTCGTACGATATAAAAAAATTATTATATACTTGTGTAACTTTTTACTTTAAAAATGGCAAATGATTCGTAGATCTAAATAATTTTTTTTTTTTTTAAAAAAAAAAAAAAAAGGAAAAAAGAAACGCGTAAAATTTTAGAATCGCGCGTTTTTTCGCGGAGGGAAAATATTTTTTTTTAAAAAAAATTTTTTTTGAAGGAACAATACGAATGATAATATTAAATACGAAGATCCTATATTTTTATTAAATAAATGCTTTCTTAATTTAAAACGAAACCTTTTTCGAGTGTTTATGCAAGAATACAATAAGAAATGAATGAATGAATATATGGGGTCGGATATTTTAAATGATATCCAACATTTAGCCAACATTTATCCAAACATTATCCTAAAGCATATATATTTTTTAATATATCCTAAACATGACTAAACATATTGAATGAATTAATTAAATAACGTTTAGCGTTTTATAGAAATTACGCGATAATATTAAAATTAGTCAAATTGAGAAAGATTACGTACGTAAAGTAAGTATTATATGTATAATGTATGTATATGCTATTAATAATATTATTTGAGATAAGATACATAAGATCATAAGATACATGAGGATCATTTACTTGATTGTACTAAAATTAGTTATGAAAAAATTTTTTATATGATAAAGATTTATAGATTTTAGCGCCAAATTAACTAAAATGAATTAAATGAAATCTTAAAGTAAAAATTCATATTGTTTAAAATTATTGTTGTTTGATATTTGAAATCTATTATGAAAGTGGGCAGCCACTAAGAAACATTGAAAATATTAAAAAGTTTTAACCAAATTAAATCTAGTAAATCTTTTTTAAATCTAGAATTTTTTAAAAAAACGGTTTATTTTATTAAAAACGGGTTTTCTTTTTTTTTGTTGTAACAATAAATACAATAAATGCAAATGATTGAAAATAGAAATTTTTTTCTTTGTAAAAAAAATGGAAAGATAAGCTTTTTTTTTTTTCAAACAAGGGGAAAATTAAGTTATTATCTTAAAATTAACGCGCCACGCGTAATAATTAATTATTGCTTCATATTATTATATTTTTCGTATTACTTAAAAAAATATTTCACTCTTTAATATTTTAAAAAGTATTATGTATTGGTTGGTTTATATGGTTTATAATGATTATAATAAATCAAAAAAAAAGAGTCTAATCATACAAATCGTACAACCGGTATTATTTTTAAGGAAATGGCGCAGTAAATTACTTAGTTAAAGGTTAGACGATCTACATGTCAAATATTCAATTCGTATCACATAATCTGTGTCACAGATGAAAAAAAAAAAAAAATATTTTTTTTTTCTCCGATATCCTTTGAGTATTTTCTTTGTTAAAATAATAATTAATCATGTCGTCAGTTTAGTAATTATTTCAGACAATGTTACAATCGTAATAGTCGTAATATTTTATTTATTTTTTATTTATTTATTTATTTATTTTTTCTTATGAATGAAATTTCACATTGCACAATGTAAACATATTATTATTTTTTTTTTTCTCTCTCTTCTCAGTTCTCACGTACAAGTTAATTTTTTGATTCAATTGAAAATATTAACTGACACGGTTCTTCTTTTCACCTCGGTGACAGATAATGTGACAGATAATTAGAAATTTCTTTAATCGATTTCATTGTAATCGAGTCTCAATGGTTTTTCAATGTTTCAATTAAAAGAACAATATGAAATATTTTAGCCAAATGCTTTCTTGTTTTTTTTTTGTGTAAAAAAAACTTAAAAAACTATACCGTTTTTATTTTTGAATGATTTGTTTACACAAATATATATTAAATTTTTTTTTTTCGTTGTCTGAAAAAAAAAAAAAAATTTTTTTTTTTGTTACAGTACGATTCAAACATTTTTCGGATGTTCCTGCACTGATTAATGCTGCATCGTACATAATCTCGTAATGACATTATGACAATAGTAAACCCTTTTCGTGTTTCCAACACTACATCAATTAATCATTTCAATTATTAATGCTAGATTAAACATGGTAATTCGGCAAATAATAATAATAATAATAATTTATATAATAATAATAATAATTTAGTGTGGAGATGCGAAATCGCGTTATTTTTTTAGTCCTTTTTTGACATGCATTTTCACTTTTTTATTTATTTTAACCAAAAAAGAAAGAAGGAAAAAAGGAAAAAAAAATTTTTTTTTTTTTTACAATTAATTATCTTGAATGTATTGTCTTTTTTAAATTGTCTTTTCCTTTAATAAAATATTGAATTAATTATATTCGAATTAATTAAAATCGTGTAAAAAAAAAAAGTGACAATTTAATCGCATCTCCGACACATTCCGCCATTTCAAATAACATAAACTAACATTTTACCATTTCAGGAGAAGAGATTTTTTAAGTAAAATAAGTAAAATACATTTTTAAAGTAAACATAGTAAACATATAACAAACATAACAACATAACAACATAAAAAAAACAAATTTCCTGAGTTAAAGCCTTAAAGGTACATGAAAAAAAGTTCTGAAGGCGTTTCTTCTTTGCTCGTTTAGAAGATGATTAATCTAAATTAAGCATATAAATGACGCCAAATGTAATAAATTCACGTCAAGAAAAAATATTAATGTACGTATTTTATGTATGTTGTATGTATGTTATTTTTTTTATTTATTTATCTTGTATGTTACTCTTTTATTTACCTTTGTATGTATATTATTTCTTTTTTGTTTTAATTAAAAAAAAAGAACAAATTTGTATAATTGAATAGATGGCTACATAACATATGTGTATGATTTTTGAATGATACTAAATATATCCATAAAATTATTATTAGTTATTATTGTGTGAAAAAAAGTAATAATTAAATGATGTAAATGATGGCTGTGTAAAAAAAAAAAAAAAATCTTTTTTCGTTGATATTTTTTAAATGAAATTAGATGCAAGTTTGATTAAATAATTTATGTATTTACATAATCAAAACCAATGAATGCAGTGTCACACCGCATTGACATAGTAAGTTTAAAAATAGTAACAAAGATTTTTATTTTATCCACAATCATGAGATTTATTGTGACGTTTATCAAAAGCTGATTCGTTAATAAAATTCGGGTTAGTATAGATTTGATAGTACGTAGCAGTATGTATAGTATGTAGTTTAGTAAGTTAGTATCAATATATCAATATATTAATATATCAATATGTAGTATTTAATATTGTTGTATCAATTTGTAGTATCAATTTGTAGTATCAATTTTGTAGTATCAATTTTATCAATTTTCATTATGATACTTCACTAACTACATCACGATCTTTACGCTAATAATAATTTATCACTATTTGTTATAATAAACTTAAAAAAAAAAAATATTATGTAAATACGCATCTTTTTTGCACTGTTCACATGCACTTGTTTTGCGTTAAAAAAACTTGGCGTTTATTGTATTATAATTTATAATCTTGAAATCTTAATGATTATCGAATAGTAAAGATCTACGCGTAAATCAATATTCGTTTAAATTAAAATTCTTTCTTCCAAATAAATAAAAAAAAAAAAAAGAAAAAAGAAAAAAAAAGTCCGAGTTCCTACATATACGAGAACATGTGCATTTTTCTTAAAAAAGACCTTTTTACTAAAAGTGATTTCTTTTAAAAAAAAAAATGGTTTATGTTTTTTTGTTTTTTTTGTTTTTTTTTTAATTATAATTATAATGAAAGAACATTGTGAAAAATATGTAATATGCGAAAAATATTTTTAAGTTAACTAATCAGAAAAGAGGGTCGGCGTTTTGATAAAAAAGAATCTTTGTTGCATTAATTAATTTTATTAAACGTGAATAAATTTTTTAATGATGACTTTTATGGATATGGAACATAAAAATATGGAATAGGATGTTCATATGGATGTTATCAATTTCTATTTCGATTATTATAACAATATTTTTCTTAAGATTTAATTTTCGATTATTATGATATAACAATATTTTTCTTAAGATTTAATTTTTTAATTTTTTTTAATCTTTTAAGATTTAGATTAATAAAATTAATATTGTTAATATTATTATTTAATATTATTATTTAATATTATTAGTTAATATTATTAGTTAATATTATTAGTTAATATTATTAGTTAATATTATTAGCGTGTACAAGTTTACGTGTACGCCAGTTTAATTTTCAAGTTTAATAACAAGATTTTTTATGCGCGAAAATAAACAATTCCATGGTTGATTCTAAGAATTTCTTTTTTTATTTTGTTTTCTCGACCTTTTTGTTTTTCTCGGCTAATTGTTTTCTGACTTTTTTCTCGGCTAATTTTTTTTTTTTTTTCTTAAGATTATCGTTATTATTATCATATCAATAAATCAAGTATCAATTATCAATAAATCAAGATTTTTACCCATTGTTCAAACATTATCCTAACTAAGGTTTTCCATGGGTTTTCATTATTCTAATTTAGAAAATTTGGAAAGTGTTTTATATCAAAACTGCAAAAAAACTCCAAATCGTAAAACCGTAAAGTGTAAATAAACGTAAATAAATTACAAATTTCTTTTTGATTTTCTAAATGTTTATTTATTTATTTATTTACAAAGCATTTTATTTATGTAAACATTTTTTTTTCTTTATTCAAACTATCATTATGATTTTTAATTATGTATTGATCAAAAATAAAATATGATAATATGATTCATTCTTTTGATCAAATGTTATGTATGTATTATAATAACGAATAAACAAATGCAATAATCAGTAAATACACTAATACACACTAATATACTGATACACACTAATATACTAATACACACTTACACACTAATATACTCAATATACACGGAGTTTTCGGCTCTGAGATCTTGAAAAAAAAAAAATAGTATTATATTTATAATATTTTGCCCCATTATTGGGGTTTGTATTTACAAGTATTTACATATTTGTTTACCATTTTATTCAAAAATAACAATAGTCCATAATGTTTATTATTAATAAAATGACATCACTTTGTTAAAACCATGTTACGACATTGTTATGAAATTTAAAAAAAAACAATGGGAATAAATTTTGTATATTGAAATGATTTTGATATTTTTTTAAATGAATATGTTTTTAGTATGTTTTTAGTATCGAAAAAATAAGTAAATATACCAAAAAAGGTAAATACATAATAGATAAAATTGATAATAAATTTTATAATACAATACAATTGTTATGTATTTTTTTTCGTAAATCACTTTTTTAATCTTTTTATCATTTTCATTCAAACCACATTAAACCCACATTGTTGTTTAAACGGAAAATCTTTAAATCCTCGTTTGTTATGATTAACAAACAAATTCTTTTTTTTTTAAAAAAAAAAGTGGATTCTTTTGGTTTCTATTCTCGGTTAAAATGATTAAATTAAAATTTAATTTTAATTTAATTTTAAATTTTTAAGATTTTTTAAAATTTTTAAACCTAAAAAAAAAAGTTTTTTTTAAAAAAAGCATGACATCGTGACATCATCGCATCACCGCAGTAAAAAAAAAATTTTCTCGTCCCAACTCCCAAACGGTAAACCGTTTATGAGAAAAAAAATATTTTTTCTTTTTTTTTCATTTTGGCAAAAATGGGCTAAAGTATGTGAAAATTTTTTTTTTTTTTACCGATATCATTCAAATAACTTAATCATTTTTTTTTGTGGGGTACATTATTGCATTTTGCATACATTAGATAGATAGATAGATGTCACGGACAACGCATTTATTTTTTTTAGACAACTTTTTTTTTTTTCGAATTCGAGATTTGATGTTCTATAAAAAGTACATTAACTAATAATATATATCAGATATTATTATCAGATATTACATTGACCATCAACCATCGAACCATCATATACAAGTGGTATTCGTTTCGAAATTGTTGTTTACTTATTGTTGTTTTCATAATCGAAAAAAGTAATTTCTTTGGCGTAAAAAAAAAATCATCATATAATCACCACTGCGGTACAGTATATTCTGAAACATCTCCTTCTTAATGGTTTGATCTGCAAAAGAATTTCTTAAAAAATATTTCATTTCACTATTTTAAAATTATTTTGGTAATTAGAATAAAGTGAAAAAAAAAAATCAGGTTTTTAAACAGGTCAATTCTATCAATCTCTTTACAAATTTGGATACAAGTCTCTTTTTTTTTATAAAATATATAAAATATATGTAAATTATATGGTAATTATCACAAAAATAAAATAAAATGTGGAACACTAGTTTAACCGGTGGACCGATCGAAAAGAATCGTGTTCCAATTTTAGTAACATAAAACTATAACATATGAATGACGAGATAATAGATGAGGTGATGTGGGGTGATAATGAGTCAAGTACCTTAGGCTACCCGGTTACCCTGCTTTTTTTTTTTTTTTAGGTAAACAAATTTTTAAGCAAAAGAAAAAAGCAAAAGTTTTTTTTAAAATATTTGTATATTTGTTTACATCTATTTATAAATTTTCACCTAAAAAAAAAAAGTTTTTTTTAACGAAATTTAGTGTCAAAGATTAATTCTCGAATCAAGATTACATTTCTCCACATATGTCTCACATTTTTGACGTGCATCTCTTTTTTTTTTTCAAAGAAAAATGAACCATAATAAACCATAATAAACCATAATGAAACATAATGAAACATAATGAAACATTCATTTTTGAAATTTCGAATTCTCAATTTAATATCTTTCATTATTATTAAAGTTTCCGAATTCTAGGTAATGTTAACAATGTAGAAAGATCACGTTATCTACACCACATTTTACCCCATTTACTATATTTACTATATTTTACGATATTTTACTTCATTACATCTTTATTACATTACATTTATTATATTTTTTTATTATACGTTTCATTATCGTTTTTTTTTAGTATTATTATGTCATCTATGTAATCCCGGTCAGGTCACACACTTTATGTACATATTCTGCACACTATCGAACTTTTTATATGTTTCATTGTAGAAAAAAAAATTCTATTAGAAAAATCCTTTACATGGAGAACAAGATGAAAAAAATTATTACTTAAAAAGAAATAATAAAAATGCATTTAATTAATTCAATGTTTACAAAGTTTACAAATGTTTTTTAAAATTTCTTTTTTCTTATCTTTTGAATTACTTTTTCTGTAAATTTTCATTATTAATTTAATTTAAAATTAATAATAATAAATAATTAAAATTTTTTTAAATTTAATCGTATTTATATCATTATTCTATTTATTTTGATTCGCTTTAGAAAAAAAGAGTTAATGGAAGAGTTTCAAAATATTTTGACGCATTAATGCATATGATGCATAGGATGCATTAATGCGTAAAAAAAAAAAGAGTTCGTTTTTTTTAATCAAATGAATTTATTTGTATGAGTTATGTATAGTTATCCGTACATACTATACAAAAATAATATGTGTATTTATGTATGTAGTTGGAAGAAAAAAGAATAAATTTTTTCAAAAGAAAACAGTAAAGTAATACGTGCATTTAAACGCATTTAAACGCATTTAAACGCATTTTAAACGCGAAATATAAACAAATAAAAATGATTCATTTCATTCGTTCTTGATTGTTTATTAAAATTTATAAGAGAATAAGAAGAGGTGTTATGAATAAATTCTTGAGACAATTTAGTCAATTTGAAACAATGAAATTCCATGCTTGGTAAACATCGTTTGTTTATGAATTTCGATCATGTGGTATTTAATGTGGTGTATTATTTATTTATTTTTGAACAGCCCTTGATTAAGAAATATAAGAAAGTAAAAAAAAAAAAAAAAATGCAGGGGATTAGGTTTTTTATTACTTTTAAAATGAAATTATCACAAGTGATGAACAAACAACGTAAAATAAGTTAAAAGAATGAAACGCAAAAACGCAAAAACAAAACGTTGACAGAGGAGAAGTTGAGAACCGGGAAATCCATTTATTCTTTTGAGAAAGAATTGGGGTAATCAACAAAAATATCATATGATTGAAAAAGAAAGAAAGAAAAGAAAGAAAGAAAAAAATATACAAAAAAAAACGCGAATAGAATAAAAATATTCTAGATTGTAATCTTTTTGATCTCTAAAAGATTATAAATTAGATTATAATCTAGAAAAAAAAATGTACGTCATACAAAAAAAACACGGTTTGGGAAAAAACAGAAAGCTTGAATTATTTTATATTTTTATAAAGTATATAAAAAAAAAATTATTCATGTAAGTCATGTAAAATATACGTCGTAATGCATAATCTTTTTTAAAATGCAAGAAATGCAAAGGGCCTCTTTTATTAGAATAATATACATACAATTGACCTATTTTTTTTTCTCACAATAAAAAGATGATGCAAATTTTTTTTTTTGGGGGTCAATGATGAAAATGTTTGAAGTTGGTGAAACAATTCCGATAAGTTTGATAGTTCGGAACAATTAAAAATGATGTGGAGAACTCAAATGTGTGGAGACCCGGAGTTTTTTTTTTACAATTATTATTTTTCATTGTAATTAATCTAGTTATATTATTATTTATTCAATGAATACAATTAATAAATTTCCACGTTTATATCTATAGTAGTTCATGGAAAAAATGTCTTGAAGGGGAATAATGCCTAAATAGGTTTTATTTAAAAAACTGCGGACAATGAACATGAATATAATCATGTGATTTTAACCATAACATTTGTATTACAACGTCCATTGTTTTCTCTTTTGATATGATCATGATAGGATCTTTCCAGAAACTTACTCCCGGAATTCAATCTTATTTTTCCCGACTTTTTTCACGTAAATATTTTATCGTATTAACAATCACTAATACCAACCTTTAATGGTTTATTTTCTCGTACATCAATCAAAAAAAAAAATTAAGTTTTTTTTTTCTTTTCCCAAACACTAAAACTAATCGACTTCATCTCTAAAAAAACATCAAACGCAACACAAATATTCATAATAATAATTCATGATTCCAAACAGGATCGATCTACCAATTTTCAGATCTTTAAAGGAAAAAATAAAGTCACATGTAACATTTTCCGATAAAGAAACAAATGAAAGATAAAAAAANTTTTCATTGTAATTAATCTAGTTATATTATTATTTATTCAATGAATACAATTAATAAATTTCCACGTTTATATCTATAGTAGTTCATGGAAAAAAAAAAAAAAATGTCTGAAGGGGAATAATGCCCAAATAGGTTTTATTTAAAAACTGCGGACAATGAACATCTTACTCCCGGAATTTAATCTTATTTTTTCCGACTTTTTTCACGTAAATATTTTATCGAATATTTTATCGTATTGATCACTAATACCAACCTTTAATGGTTTATTTTCTCGTACATCAATCAAAAAAAAATTTTTTTTTCTCTTTTCCCAAACACTAAACTAATCGACTTCATCTCTAAAAAAACATCAACGCAACACAAATATTCATAATAATAATTCATGATTCCAAACAGGATCGATCTACCAATTTTCAGATCTTTAAAGAAAAAAATTAACATTTTCCGATAAAGAAACAAATGAAAGATAAAAAATAAATTTAACCTTTTTAAATAAAGTTATTATCCATTAAAATTTAAAGAAATACAAAAACATAACAAGATTTTTTTCTTGAGATGACCTCTAAAAAAAAAATACAGTAGTAAATAGTAATAAAAATGATAATAAAATAGTAATTAAATAAACGTAAACAATAAATAAACAATAAATAACTTTAACCATATCCTTTTAAACCATTAATAAAAATTTTTATAAATCCGATTTCCGGAATGGAATCGACTTTTTAATCTCATTCATATGAAAAAACATGATGATATCTTTTGTTTTGGTTCACGAGGTCTCATTGAATAAAACATTTTTTATTATATGAATCGAAACTCTTAACTCTTTTCGTTGAAATCTTTTACATTTCTAATTAAAGATATTTGTAAAGTTATCAATCAATATAGCGGCGCCGTGGGTAAAAAAAATTTGGAGTAGTAAAAGGTAGTAAAAGGGGGGGGTGAAAAATTTATGGATGATATTTAACATATTTAACAATACAGCAATAGTAGTGATGAATAATTTGTTGACTCCGTTCTTTTTCCCCTTCTTTTAATCCCTAGATTGAATTATATTTTAATGTATTAATGTGGATTTTACGCCAAATTTATCTTAATATTTACTTCATTAGTTTTTTTATATGCAAAATATGCAAAATATACATAATACATAATATACATATTTTTTTAGTAATATATACATTTCGTCATAGAACGTTTAGTTTAGAGCGTTTAGAACGTTTACGTTTTTATTATTATTATATTAACCTTAAATATTGTTGTTAACATTTCTACCATTTCTACCGATGAAAAAAAAGAATGTTTTTTTAGAATACTATAAAAATACTATCAAATACTATCTTGTACTTTAAGATAATACTTAGATATACGTCTGTCTCTTATACACATCTATTTTATCGTATTAACAATCACTAATACCAACCTTTAATGGTTTATTTTCTCGTACATCAATCAAAAAAAAA